TGAAAAACTTATCCAGAAGTTAAGATAGTGGATCCAGAAGTAAAATCCTGATAACCCAAGTTTCTCCAAACTCTGCCCTGATTTGTTATAATATAAGCATCATAACGGAGAGGGGATGGTGAGTTAAACTGCTTGACATTAGGCACCAACTTAGCATGCCCACCTAGAAACCCCACATAGCTAGAGTTAAGTCAACCTCTCGCACAGTGTGGTAAAGACCTTGCATCCATCATGTTCAGTATACCATCAATATAACCAAAGTAGATCTTCAAAAATCAAAAAAAGAATGTGCTCCCTAGCTAGAACATACACTGCGAGTTAAGAGAGATATAAGCAATACTATCCTGGAAAGAATTAGAGCAAGCACAGAGGTAGTCAATAGGTTTGACATCGAAACCTTAGTGAATAAGTTGAGTAAATTGAGCTTGCTTGATAGACAAACCCTAAAACTGATAAGTTCTTGGAGACCCTTATTGCCTTGGTTGACCAAGACACATTTAGTTAGTACCTATCATCTTTAGCAATGGGTTAACCAGATCGCTCTTGAAATAACTGGCATCTTGAAGAAGCAATCCACCTTTCAGGATGCCACCTTGTGTATGCTTTGGCAATTGCAGACATATCAACAATATCATAACTTAAGAGCTGTCATACAAAAATCCTCAAAGTCAGAATGGCAAAAGGCCCTGGAAATACAGTGTGAGGGGTGGCTACAACCCCTCCCTCAGTACACCCAGTGCAATACCTCAGTTTGCACAGTAGAGTTTAAACTATCCATTAATCAGACCTGGCCTGCCGTGTAGTGTGAAATGCAGATATTCCCTCAGTTGTTTAGAGATCAATGGTGGATTCCCACATTTGAGGATTCCCACATTGATTTAATGAATAGGACTTATCGCATAGATGATTGTGAGAATTAGCCAGAGAGATGAGTGTGCCCGGCTCATAACCTTTTGTATGAGCCATGACCCCAGTCATTGTAGGTGGAAATGCTAGTAGTTACAAGAAACCCTCACATATGACTTAAAGAATAAGACAGCTTGTGTGTTTTCTCCTAACCCAATTCAGTGGCATGTGGATAAAGTCTCCCCACCCCCTGTGTGTGAATGCCGCCATCAGGTGATGATTATTACCAACATACGTACCAAGGAGAGCGTCCCCTTCCTTAATGTCTCATATGAAGCCATGTACTCTACCCTCTCCATTCCTCTGTGAGTGATACCAGTTAAAGTTTCTTTTCCACAGCTTAAGCAGTTACTTGACCAGCATGAAGAAATCACTCACCAGCTCCAGAAGATAGCTACCACAGTTGCCCGAACCTGAGTTCTGATAACCCAGCATAGTGAACTACTGAGAATCACCCAAGATGAGCACAACCTTATGGTGCATCATTTGAGACAATTTTAAAGAGTAGTCCCCTAAAGCAAATGCTGTATTAAATCTTCTATTACATCCTATTGTTGTTATTTGTATTGTAGCTGTATACTTGTTATTATAGACATGCTTTTTGTATCTGCGCATTCAGTCTCTCGTCCACCTGTGTAATGTCCAGCGTATGCAAACTGCTTAAGACGATTGCGAGTTAGACCTCAAATTCTTAGTAGTCTGTCTCACAATTGAGGGGTGAACTGTAATAGTAAGAGCTTTGCTAATGCTAATAGCAAGAGTTCTGCATGCTGATTCCATAGTAGGCTGGCGAAACGGCACATAGCCTCCTGCTCTGTGAGCGTGACTGAACCATGAACCTAGATAGTAGAATGTTGTAATACAGTAGAATGTAGTAAACACCAGGTGTGTTGGATCATGACTCATCCCCAAATTCCTAGCTTGAGATAACCAAATCCCTAGCTCAAGATAACGTTATTTACTCTAGACTATATAAGATGTACATTCTTAAGTTATGATAGGTTCCTCCTGACTTGTGCGGAGCCCTGGCACAGGCTATCGCATCTCCGGGATCAGGACACTCCGGGGCCAGGAGAACCATGCGAGGTGGTGGCTGCCACCTAAAACCGATGTGAAGTGACTGTCCTCTCTGCTCTGTTCTATCCCCTGCCTGTGCCAGTATCCTTAAATAAAGCTTTGCAAGAGTGAAAACAACCATGAGTATGTCCTTTGTTCAAGCACAGAAAATCTTCTGAACCCAGTAGTTCATTCTAAGACAGGGCGGCAATAGAAGCCCCAGAGAAGGCTGCAGAGGGCCCAGGGAGGACAAGGGGGGCAGATTATAACAAGGTCCAGACCGAACAATGTCAGTTCCACCTGTGAGGCTTGGGGCATGGTAAAGGGGTGGTTGGAGCCACGCATAGCCCATAAGGCTAGGGTGCCCCGAAACACTCATTGTACCATCTATCTTGGAGTGGGACCTATCAGGGGTCCGGGAATCCACGGGGTCTGAGTGTACAGCAAAATGTGACCAAGAGGGCATAAAAGGCAGACTCCCAAATATATATTTTATCATCAAAGATGTGGCGGGCAAGAGTCGAGGGTGCCCATTGGGTCAACTTGGAATGGTAAAGGGGGCCTTAGGAAGATCACAGCCATCCTACTGGACCCCGCGCCATGACAAAGTGTGCATTGGCCAGGAAAGTAAGGCCATGCATGGGGAGAACCCTGTGTCCCTAATTAGGGGGAATGAACCTTAGGGCTAAAATGGGAACTGAGAGAGAGCTGTAGGAAGGCAGCAGCAACACAGACCTAAAAAGGGGGAGGAGTAGGAAGTCACTGCCTCAGAGACTGTACAGGGGCCCACTGGTTGGGCCCAACCCCTTAGGGCCCAACCAGTGAAGGAGTAAGACAAGGCTAGCTATGGCAGAGGCAGAGGACATAGAGGGCCTGAGACAAGAGAATTTCACCTGGCTATTGTGGGTGGATGAGTTGGAGGAGAGGATGGCCCGGCTAGAGTGGGAATTAGAAGCAGGAAAGGCTCAGAAAGAACAAGTGGAGGCAAAGGCCACTGGGTTAGAACAGCAGGTACAAGCAGGGAAAAAGGAAGGAGGTTCCAAAGAAATCGGGTGCTTGTTAGCGGCGGAAGCTGAGAGAACTCACGCACTAGAACAGCTTATCATGAATGAAGCCCAGGAGAGCCAGGAGAGGGAAGAGAAGCTGCAGAAGATGCAGAGGGAGAAGAAAGCATGGATTGCAAGGTCCCTTGAAGCTGGCACAACTCAGGCAGGGGAACAGAAGGAAATGCTGCAGAAGTTGGAGGTGTCAAGAAACCTAATAGGCGTCCTACAGAAAGAAGTCCGCAGTCAAGAGGACCAAAAAGAGGGGTTGCAAGACGAGTTGGAGGACTGGCAGCAGAAGTAAATAGTGCAGAACATCTAGCACAAGAGCTGCAGGACCACCTGCATGAAAGCCGTACCCAGACCGAAGAAAATGGCATGGTGATTGTGCAGGAGATGGAAAAGGTAAAAGCTCACACAGCAAATTACAAGGTGCTGTGCAATCGAAACCTGTCCCTTGAAAGGGAGTTAGAGGCAGGAACGAGAGAGAATGATGGGTTACGGTCCCAGTTACAGAGTGTGAAGGTGGAAAGAGACCACCTTGGAGAACAGGTACAGTGCCTTAAAACTCTCCTAGAAGACAGCTTGGCTAAAGAGGCAGAGACTAACACAGAGAGGGAGCAGTCACAGCTTCAGATGCAAGCCTTAAGGCAGCAGATTCAGGCCTTGGAGGCAGAAGATAAAATGCTACGGGCAGCAAGCAGTCAGATGGTGATAAAAGGCCAAGATCCTGGGAAGTTGGAGGTGCCAGAGGTGCCAGGAATAGCAACTCAGACAGAAGTAGGATAGAAAGCTCAGGCGGTGAAGTTCGCAGACATAATACAAGAGAGGCTGGAGACGCTGGGAGCCCAATTCGCAGGGTGTGTGACTACGGCTGTGTCTGAATGCCTAGAGCAGCAACATGAACTCAAAGTGGTGAAAGGGTCCTTGAGGGAAATGGAGGTGCAACTAATGACCACGTGGCAAGGGGCCGGAAACCTCCAGAACAAACAAAGTTCCCTGGAGACCGAGGCCCGGAGGATCCAAGAGAGGAGGCCGAACAAGGGCAACCAGAGAGAAGCAACCCAGAGAAGGGAACGGTAGGGGCGAAGCCTATGGCCCTACAAGAAGAGGTCCTGCCAGCCCTCCTGGAATGCTGGAATAAGAGATGGGACCAATGGGTGCAGCGTCATGCAGAGGAGATGAGCCATCTAAGACTGCAGCTGGGGAAACTCTGTAAACCTCAAGCTAAGTGGGGGATTACAGTAATCAGTCAGAGGCCACCAGTGGAAGCAGATATAATAGATATAGGGATGGCAGGGAAAGGTGAACAGGCTAGCCCAGGGAGAGAGACCAGTTGCCTGGTTCGCCAGGGCTGCACACAGGTGACACAAGGCCTAAGGCAATGTAGGTCAGATATGAGCCCCAGGAAAAAAGGGGTCAGTGGGACCCAGAAAAGAAAGTCGGGCCAAGGAGCTAGAGACACGGAGGAGGGAACTATCATCTAAAGTGGGGGATAGGCTGGGGAAGAGACCTCAGATTTATGTGCAGAATATCCCAGGACAGGTCATATGGTGGACTTTAAGAAAGCTGATAGGGGCAAAAGTCGGGGGGGGGGGAGGGTGGCCTATGGAAACATTTATAAGGGGCCTAAAGGAAGACCCACTCGCCAAGGGAAGATCGAGTTTTGGGAGGAAGAATATGCCCAGAGGGCATTGAGGAGACAGTGGGAGATCTGGGGAAGGCTTCAGGACCTCCAGAGAGGCTATTAGGAGAGGAAAGAACCCCCCCAGGAGAG